TTGATTAAGGAGTTACATGAGTTTACGGATTTCTTGTTTAATTCTAGAACACCTCTAGATTATTGTCCTAAAKTTTCAAGTTGATCCGAGTAATATAATATTTTCGGAGATACAACCTTGAGAACTTGTGCGCTCAAGCCTAGATAGGTTAAGTGCGTCGTCTTTAAACGAGTTTTTCTCGAAACTGTGTCTGTGAAGTCGGTTAGCACGACTTCTCAAGAACTACTTAACCGAATTTCATGAAATTTTACACAGGTCTTTGAGATATAATTGGACAACTATTTGAAAAAAAAGTCGCGAAATTTTCTATTTTTATTCCCACGAATGAGCAGCTTCTAGAGAAGAAAATTACTTGCGAACAATTTTAGATCGATATCTAAAAAACTGYTTATACAAACGCACAGACGGACATATTTAAATCAACTCAGTTAAGGTTGATGATTCCAAGTGTCACTTAATTCGTGGCAAACTAAAAAAATCGATTAGTGAAATGAATTCTTGTCGAACTGAATGATTTGTTTGGATCAAATTTCAATTAGGTGTAGTAGAAAGCTTTAAGCAAAAGCTAGAAAATGTTAAGTTAAGTTTTATATTCATTTCACTGACAAAATGATTTCAATGATTTTCCTACAGTGCGCCTCTTAACAGTGGCTTCGTTAAGACCGGCCTCAATAATATGCACACACACATTAATTTTTATTCTACAACCATATACATATACAAAGCTACAGTTTTTACAGGCTTACCACCTACACGGTTGGCAACGAGGTACGCTCGAGTGCTATTCTGAAAGGCTGACTGTGAAAAGTGTGTCGAAACAGCTTGATATACGCACACAGCTTTACGCAAATAAACACAGAAATTTGCATACAGCCATGTCCCTGTTTATATACACACAAATACGTATTGTTTATGCATACATGAACATTTACAGTCCGTTCCTGCAATAGCTGCACTATAAATTTAAACCGAAAAAAAAAAAAAATAGAAACACACGTATTTTCAACATTTTGGCTTCGCAACAGTCAACTGTATACGCGTTAGGCAATAAACAGTGGTTTTGAATGAAAAATATAAAGAAGGTGGAAGGGAAAACTGTAATACTTATTTTGTAACTGTATGAAAAGTTTGTAAAATGCACAATATAAAGCATTTACTACTTTCAGCATTGAACTCATTAAGAGGTTACATGGGTTTCCATGGAAAAAAAAAACACAATTTTCCAAATTTTTTTCTCATTTCAAATATTAAATATTTTTTTAAGAATTCTTTATTATTACAAGTATGCACTATTAATAAAGAAATTCTGAAATTTTTGGAAAAAAATATTTTAAACTCTGCCACTTCCAGACAACTCAATACAGGATCATCTAAGTTGAAAAAGTACATATTTTGGTTAAAATTTTAACTTAGAACTTGGACGAAGGAAAAAAACTAAACACTGGATTTTTGGCAGATATTTTTACTAAAAAAATTAAAGTTTCACGACATTTTTTTTTCAAATAGTTGTAATCGAAAAAAAGAAAATCCTCATCCAGGTCCTTAAGAATTGCATCTCGAAGACCTGTGTGAAATTTCATGAGTATCGGTGAAGTAGTTCTCGAGAAATCTTGCCAAGCGACTTCAAAAATGCAGTTTCGAGAAAAATGCGCTCAAATACGGCGCACCGGTAGCCTCGAGCGCACACATTTCAAGTCCACTCCTTGGTTTTTTGTAAGGAACGAATTGWATGAATTTTTTCCGCTAAATCAAGTCGTATATCATAAATAGCACGTTCAATATTGACTTCTAAGGCTTGCAGAGAGTCTGCTTTATTACTAAAGACCAATGACTTTAAATAACCACACAAAAAGTAGTCTAATGGTATTATATCATAMCTTCTTGGAKKCCATTCAATGTCACAATTTCTTTAAATAATCGARTCTKYAAACTTYCCTCGCTATAATTCGGTTGTTGCACGTATTCTCGTCTTGTTGGAACCAGATGTTGTCAAGATGAAGTTCTTTTTGTTGAAGTTGTTTTTTTTTATCGATCTACATATACCGCTATCCATTTACAGTAACGATGTCACCAGCTGCCTTTCCAAAGAAGTACAGACCGTTGTTTCCCAAAAACTAAGACTAAAAACCACACCAAACTGTCAATTTAAGTGAATGTAACGGGTTTCTTCATGAATAATTTGTGGATTTTCATKKCATCAGAAACGACGTTTTAGTTTGTTTACCACATCACTCAGATGAAAGTGATCCTCATTGGTGAAGATGATAAAAAAAATTCTTATTGTTTCCAAATCATTCCAAGGCATCATCAGCAAAGTCACGACGTTTTCGGTGATCCAGTGGTTCAATTTCTTAAATGAGAACAATTTTATATGGATGCCAGTCCAAATCCTTTCTCAAAATCCGCCAGATTGTGGGTTAAGACAGTCTTAATTCTTGAAAATGCCTTGAAATCGACAAATTGCGGTCTTCAGCAACACTTGCCTGAAAGGAAGCAATATTTTCATTACTTCAAGTGGTTCGCTCCTTTGTGTTATTGGCACTTGAGACTTGATACTTATACACTTAGAAATCATATCATCCCTATTGGAAAAYCCAGTATTATTGTCTAAGACAATTGTATAGTGTTCGTAGAAATTGTTCTGATCGCACCACTGCCAYACAAGCCGAACGATCGGAACAAGTGCTTGATTGGAAAACAAAATTTGACAAAATATCTTCACAAAATTTATCATAGATTCCTGTTTAAGATAGCGCAACAATCTCTGAAGATTTTTAAGTAAATGAAACTAAAAATAGACCACCGTGCAGAACCTGCGTAGCATTGATACTACATAAATATATGTACATATATAAAATTATATGCACTGCGGTGCATAAATGAAATGCAAATAAAGACTTTGCAGCTATTTCTATATATATGTACGTCATTTCTTTGTATTGGCTTCGTTATATTTTTATGTGAAATAAATATAAATATAGACTTTTCCTCTCAGCAGGTCTTTATGGCATAAACCAAATAAATGCACAACATAAATTGAAAATGTCTTGCTTTGCTTCAAAATCTCAAAGTTACGTTTCTTTACTTCTGTTCTAATGAAAGGCCTACTCAACTACTCACTTATAGARTTCGACGAACACTTCAAACTTCTGTGTTTGTTCCTGTTAATTGCTGACAATAAACACAAACCTACTGTCAGCCGTTTAGTGACACTATGGGCATATGACAGACACCGGTGCAATTGTGGTTGTTTCCGATTGCTTAGAAATTGATACTTTACGTCCGTCTTTACTGCTTGCCTACAGTGGCTTCGGAATGCAAACAATACACCATAAGACACTACATGGCAATAATACTCGCATTAACTTGCAATCCAGCAACACGAATCCCTCTTAAGATCATCGTTGGCTTTATTGCAAAAAACTATTTTCTATGCAGTTTAACTGCAATTATGAGTTGTACGCAATTCGAGGAAGTACTGTTAGTAGTGGTGAAATATATTTGATTTTCGTGAAACACAAATTGCCGAGTAATTTCGCTGACGATTAAATTTCAACTTAAATGGCCTAACCTAACTTAGGTAAGATCGAAATCGACGTGGTGAATAGTGATTCGTCTTCAGTGTTTGCTTTTCTGGATTTCTTAAAMGACACTTGACATTTGTTTGGTTGTRTATCACTCAGAAGAATTTAACGAAATTCGTTTTGTAGTCTTGGAGGATTTACGACCTCTATTCGTCATTTCGTCATAACATCGATAAAGCTGATGGAGCTGCAGCGCCRAATTAGGTCTCGTGCGCATTTCCAGTGAATGTACCATATATTCCCGATGKGGTATATTTTTCAGCACACGTCTTGCTTTGCAAACAAACTTGCATTATCATTCATTCATTGTATAAAATAGCCACTTTGGAGCATAAAAGTATAAAAAAGAAATTATAAAATGTCAAATCAATGGTTGATAAGTTTTGTTTCAAGACTTTGACCTTGAAACGTGAAAATCACAGTTTACAGTTCTTTTAACTAAATATTGCATGCACATCCACATAAACACACACACACATACACATGTGTGAACTCATATATGCGCGGTCATGCACACTTAGTTATTAATCAAGTGTGACCTTCAGCTCTTTCGCCCGCTCGGTGCAAATGGCTTTGCCAATTTTCTGCCATTTCCGACCTTAATGAAATGAGTTATTAAGAGTATTTGTGTAGCTACTCGGCACTCGATTTGCGTTCAAATATAGCTAAGGTATATAATGGTGCATAGTATACATATATATATGTATGCAAATACAATATAATATACACTAGGACTGAAGTCGAAATCGTGAACAATGCCGGATGTTTTACACTTTCATAATTAAGTCTTCGTTTGCTGTGTGGTTTTCGGAATGTGGTTATCAGGTTTAGATTGTGTTACGAATTTGCTGAATTGATGTGATATGGAATCAACCTAATGACAATAAATAAAATGTACGAAAATACATTTCATTTGAGATCGAACGAAAAAATGTCGTTGGGCTTTTCTGCTATTTTCCCAACATGAGAAACACCTATCTTGTTCTTCTTTAATTGGGTTTTGATGTACAGTCTTGATTGGTTCATCTTGGATGGAACAGCTTGTTTTCTCTGCCACATTTTCAAACTCATGTCTTATGGCTCTTGAACTTTTTACTTAGATATGTATTTCTCTGCCAACAAAAGCAACGACTTGTAGTGCCCTGAACTTCGAAAGAATTTCAAATAATTTATGTTTTTTTAATAGTTTTGCAACATAAAAGTTTTTCCGGAACCTGCTTTTAACAACTGTTCCGCGTATTGATTAAAATCGTGGTGCGAGTGTATTGTGGCCAAAAGGGACTACTTTGAGCGGGASGACATAGATTTGGAAGTATAAATAAAAATTTTWAAATTATGAACAWAGTCTTACTATTTTTTGCCTATACCATATGTTGCTAGAATATCAACTAATTTCCATTTTCTTGCAATTTTCAGGCACTCAACGCAACTGTAAATTACAAATACAAACATATTATAGCTAAATACATCCAAAAGYATTTCCTCATCGTTCAAACCATGGGCTCCGGTCATTACATTTGGGCGATATTCTTTTTTGCCAGTTTATGTAGTGCATCGCTGTAAGTACCGTAGTCAATGAATTGATGTGTGTAATTATATTGTATCACATGTGTGTGTGTGTGTGCGTTCGTGCCTAGTGTGTGTATAAGCTTTCACTATCATATATTACACATACGAGTATTCATTTGGTATATGTATGTAAATACAAATGAAAAAAGAAAAATACAAACTGACTTTTGACAGCGTCAATATTATATTAACAGCTTTTCATATATATTTTTGCAATTTTTGCACATAACAACAACTACACACACTAATGCACAAACAAAAAAGCAATTAAGCTATTGAATTGCTTAATTAATAGAGGAAATGACATTCGATGATTATTATAGATAATTTCGCAATTCAATAACAGACTAAGGCTGAGAGTATTGCAATGTGATGGGCTTTTATTTGAAAGTATTTTGTTTTTATTTTATTTTTTTAATTTTGCTAAAATATGTTGGTATTGAAGGTGGATTTCTTTGATTTTCATAATAGTATACTTTTCAGTGTACACAGAGACCGAGTGTATGTAATATAGAGTATTATATATGTACATTATTTTCCAAATTGACAGTTTTTGTAGACCTTCCCTTAAACTTCAATTTTGCCACTCAGAATTGGAGTGACTTGTAGAGTTTGACCCTTGTTTGTCGAGAGAGGACTTTACTCCTCAATTGCTTACTCAGTCCGAAGTAGCACCTGTTGGCAAGAGTTATCTTGCGTTGGTTTTCTAGGCTGACATTGCTGGTGGTGTTTATGCTGGTTCCAAGATAGACGAAATTATCTACAACTTCGACGTAATGACTGCCAAGTCGCGAGTGCGAAGACAGGAGATATTCCGTCTGGCTCACGTTCACAGCTAGACACATCTGCTTCGCTTTCTTATCCAGTTTGAAGAAAGCAGAACTAATGACATGGGTGTTGAAGCCAAGAGCAAATTGAAGRAATCGCACGAAAGCGWGTCGCTCTGTCTGAAATCTCGTTTGGTATGGAAAAAATTTTACATAGTTGAGTTATGCAACAAGAGTTAGAGGCTGCCACTTATTACTCTACAGAAGCCTTTGAAAATGGTAAAAATGAAACAAAACAAAAACAAAAAAAAAGGAGAGGGTGTTAAAAAAGGCTTATCAGACGAATAAATATATGGAAAATTTAAAGATAATAAAAAATGTAGCAGTTATGTATTTAACCTTCTTCACATAACCTCAAAATTTATGTAAAAAAATTTACCAAAATAAAATCAGTTTATATATTTTGTCGTTGATAAGTTTGCTTTGACATATTTGATGTAAACTTGCCTTTTCCAAATACACTGTATTTTTTGTTAAAAGTATTAATTTTTTAATATAAATTATTTTTTGTTTCTTAGTTTGACTTAATATGGGAAACCCGTATTAACAATATATTAACATTATTCTGGAAGGTTCCTTTATTAATTCTATAACAATGAACTACCAGAATTCCTGAGTTCCCTTTCTCATTATCCATTGAGAAAAATCTATTATCCGTAAGGAACCACTCACAATATCTCAATTGCCGGAAAAAAGTCTAGATGAGAGTACAGCATTTTTGTTATTTAAGGCTTTATATGACATGATAAGTTCAATTATTAAGTCTTTGTAATCTTCTGATATATGATTTCTTAGAWAATTTTGGACAACGTTCACAAAACTTTTCTTAGATCTTTTTTCAGATCATTCTATTTCTCCATCTATCAGCTCTATCATCATTAATTGTCGAAAGTAAGAAATTTTCATATCAAGAGAAAGAAAATTCCGGATCTTTATTCTATGTAGATTCCAAAATTTCAGACAATTTCAGTTCATGCACTTAACCCTTTAAATCACTTTGCGACAATAAGTGCGGTTTTTTTTTTGAAGTTGACAGTTCATAMCTTGGTGCATGATCGATTTCAATGTGCTGACTTAGCACAAGTTTCGGAATATGTTTGTAATTTTCTGATCAATGTGGAAGTCTTGGCACATCCAGTTCGGACGTTTAATGGATCTGTTGGGCGAAAATAAGTTTTTGCGCCGTCAAACAAAATAACAGTCAGGTACATGATAATTTGGTTTGGTCCAAAACACTTTGGTATGGCAATTGATATACCACAGGATTCATCTTTAGCCTAGCCTAATATATAAACCTAGGTTTTTCACATCTGCCACCACGAAATAATATTTAATATTGTCTATATGTGACGAAGGAAATAAATCGAATAGTTTGAAGATGTGCCAATTTACCCACCACATTGCACACTCTCATGCCATTACTGTTTCACATACATATGCAAACTGACACATTTAAATGGTAATTTTTATCAAATCTCTTTGTATTATCATATTAAACATGCAATGTTTTTTTAATTTTTGTCGGAGCATAAATTTTGGAATTATTTGCAAACGCTAGACAAAGCATATCTGTCCAAGTCGCCAGCAAATGCAATTTCAATGCCAACAGATATGCTCTGGCTGTGAGCAAAATACTATGATAAGTGCGACTGTATAATGTTGAGAACCGTTACGATGGTTAAACAGTATGCTGGAAGAAACCAAATGTTTAATAATAATAATAATAAAAATTATTATGAGAGATAAAGATTCAAAATTTTTCGCTTCTCCACAAAATTTTGTATATACTAATCTAACTGTTTAATATAATATAAATAGATATTTGTTCACTATTGTACTATTGATTCCCCACCACTTTTTTCAAATATTTATATGCAAATTCGTAAACTATGCAAATATTATTGGTATTTTCTGTGTAAAAGTTTAAAAATGAAAGCAAATTTCACAAAATAAACAAACAAATTTATTTTATGGATGGCTTGCCAAACGATTAATACAATTATACGTACGTACATATCATAATTTCAGAGCTAATAATGCCAAAATAAATTTCCGAGAAAAGGAGAAAAAAGTCTTAGACCAAATTTTAGGTGCAGGAAAATATGATGCCAGAATACGTCCATCCGGAATTAACGGCACGGGTAAGAACAAACAAA